ATTGAAACTTTTAAGTTTTTTAAACATAAGTCAAACAAATTTGCAACTAAAACTAAAAAACCCAAATGAGTGTTTTTGAAATATTTGAAGTTATTGCAATTTTTTATTGTATTAAAACTTTTTAAAAATAAATTAAATTCAAAAAACACCAATTTTGATTTTGTACATAAATAATAAAACGTTTAATATGTCAAAAACTCTTGAAAGAATAAAGTCAAACTTCAAACTTTTAAATAAAAAAAGTACACTACTTCAAACACAATGAGTAAAGTCCATCTTGAGCCAGTTTATATTGCCAATGTAGCGTTGTACGTTGACAGATATTCTACATTTGAAACCCTTCAAAAGGTTTCACAAAATTGTATTGTTGGATTAGAAATACTACATATCAACCCACAAAAACTTGCCACTGGAATTGATTATTTATTCCGTGTTATTCCAAACTTAAACACGTTGTGTTCTTCCATAGAATACGCCAAGAACGAACTAATTGAAAAATACACAAATAAAATACGATGGATCGATGCGTCGGGGCAGGTTAGTGATTGCTCAAAAATTCCAACATTATTTAACGAGAAAATCAACAAAATACGCATATTGGGCTATGACTTAAAAAATGTCAACAAATACGAATCTTTAGAACAAATTATTGTCGAACAACTTAGTCCAAATGATTTGTGTTATTTAGAAAACTTAAGTACTCTTGTCAATTTAAAAATAGTAGTTCTGTATTCTATGGTAACAATCGATAACAGCAAACAGAAGTTTATTAATGTTTCAAATTGTCTTCCCAACGTGAAATTTTCGATAGTTTTAAATGTGTCAAATGCCTGTAATATTGAACATATCACTAAAAATTTGAACTTTATGTATTGGGATTATATCAAAGCAAAAACTCGAATTTTTAACACTGAAATTTACAAAACAAATCCAATAAAAGAAGAAAAAGTGGAAGTTGATTGTAGTAATGACATAGTAACAAATAGCTATAAAATTTATATATCGAAGAATGGAACTGATTTGAAGATGTATTCTTCCTTTAACGACAAAACGTTTGATAAAAAATTAACATCTGAAAAATATCAAAAAATAAAAATTGTATTGAAGGGAGAAATTTTGTTCGAAAAAACAATAATGGTAAATATTCACAAAATTTTCAAATTTGCTGCAAAAACAGTTATAAATGGAAAATTGTACGAGTGTGATTTTTTGAAAAAAGAAATTGGCAACATATTTACTTCTAAATGTGCAAATTATATTATTCGTTTGGAAATCACAACAAGTAATAAAGTTATGACAATAACTCTTTATTTTGAGTCAACTTTTGATGTAATTAACTCATTGACAAGTGCAACCAAAATGACTGATGTTTCAATAAATTCAGATCTTTCAATAATAAAAAAGTGCAAATTTAAAAGTTATATTTCGGAATATAAAGTTCATTTTTCAGTTGAGAATATCACATTTTTGAACAATAACAAAACTATTTATAGCGACCTAAAATCACCAAAAATACAA